AGCCGAACTCTTCCGAGCGGCTTCACGTGGACAGGTTTGAGAAGCTGAATGCGCCAGTGTATTTTGTGGATGGCGTGTCCCACCCCTTCCCAGACAATGCCTGTGGCAGGAAGCCCATCCACAGCGACCTTCCTCCCCCTGCCCAGCCGCAGTCCCATCACACAAGAAGCGTGTCCCATCACACTCTGGGTCCCAAGGTGGGGCTGCTGCCCTGTGCGCCTCAGAACCTGCCGGAAAGGCCGGCGATGCCCCCCGCCCCTCCCGGTGAGCACTCCGGGCACCTGCTCCGGAGGGTGGATCCCCTCTGGGTGCCTGAAGCTGTGTACCAGAACATTCCTCCCCCCTTACCTCCGAAGAAATATGCTCTGAGCACTTTGGCAGGATCAGAGAACAACTTGGTAGCGGATGTGAAATCAACGGAAGTGTTGCAAAATAGCCCATTAAGGCAACCAGGTGCACCTTCAAAATCTGCATCAGAAGCAAGTGCAGTCCCAGCTGAACAAAGGCTTAAAGAGCCCTTTCCAGGGAACGAAGTGTTTGTTCATAAACCGGATTCTCCACCTCGCTTATCAGTTAATGAGTTCTGGACCGTGTCTGAGAACATGCTGAAGAAAGGACCTCATCACACGGGACCCAGCCCTGGCTACGCGGATGGGAATGACAGCGTGTCCCTAACCACTTACTTCTCAGTAGACAGCTGCATGACTGACACCTACAGGCTGAAGTACCACCAGAGGCCCAAGCTGTATTTCACAGAGAGTGGAAGCTTCCACAAGGAGAAGCATCCTCCAGCAGCAGGAGTAGATCTGAATGCCACATACCCAGCCACTCTGGAGCCCAGGCATCCCACCCCTGAACCGAGGTACAAGGCAAACGCAGAAGGAATACACTGCAGTCGATAGGTTCTTGGAGAAACCTGCACCTGGATCTGACTTTGGCATTTCATGTAGTCTGTAAAGAGGCACAACCTCGAATCTCTGTGTGTGTGTGTGTGAGATAACCAGGTACCCAGCTGACTGTACTTGCTTGGAAGTTGTGACTGTTCAAACAAATATGCAAATAGAGGCCAACAGAGGAGAAGAGGTGCTAAACTTGTGGTTCTTTGATTTGTTACTCTAGTTGCCTTAATGCTTACCTCTGTTACTCAGCTTGTCTTCTCTGGTTTGTGTTCCATGTGGTCCCCTGCAGCAGCAGGATCAGCTGGATGTTACTAATTCTGTAAGATCTGGTTAGCTGCAGTGTAAGAAGGGTTCCTTCAGACTATGGTCACTGTTCTTTGACTAACAAAAGGGATAAGCATGCTACCACAACTAAGGCAGTACCTGTAGTCACAACACAGCAGTATTTGTGCTCAGAGGTAGCAGGAGGTGACATGGTATTTTTAACTGATGTCTCTCAGAGTCTGTGCTTTCACAAACCTTCAAGTGTCTTTAATGCAAGTTTACCCAGAGGATTTATTTTTTATTTGAAAAGCCTTAATATTATTTCTTTAAAAACCATTTTGGTTTGCAAATGTTAAATGAGACTTTCAAAGGGAATTGAAGAAATCGGCAGTAATATTTTCCTATTAATACCCCTGCTCTGTTAGTGTACGTTTTTAAACACATCGAATTTATTCACCCTTAAAGCTGTATACTTTTATTAAATTTAACCTCCTAAGATACAAACCAGTATAACAGAATAGGATGCTAATTTTAAATGCAGAGTTATGCAACTATGAAAGATTGTGTAACATTTTAGAAGTATTTCCTACTTACATTCAGTTCTGACTTACTCTACTATTGCATGCAAAGTCAATGCTGCTATTTGTTAAACTCACCTTTTTTTTCCAGCTTGACATTTTTGTTCATGGGGATCACACATTTGATTCTTTTTTTAATTTATTTTTTTTTACTAACACCTTTTCCCATTTGGAACAGTCCTATTCATGGATATGATCTGCGTTAGCAGATCAGGCTTGAATGTGCAGCCAGACTGGTGGCTAAGGGGGCATGGAAAGAAGAGGTTTTTCTTTCTCTTCTCTATCACTCTGTCTCCAGTTTTGGCAGCTCTGGAATTTACCTTGTCTTTTGTTAACCTGACTTATCTCAGTAACAAGGAGGAAGATTTATTTGGCTTTTATTTGGTTAGTTAAGTCAGTGCACAGAACCATCTAGTGAGTGCTGAAGCAGCATTGGCAAAGCCTGACACAACCCAAAAAGTGAAGGCAAAATTTTTCCATTATTCACATTAGAGTGTTAACTTGGGGTGCTGCTGATTACACCTAAACATCAATGCCTTTTATTATGAAAACAATGCAAGAGGGTTAAATATGCATAATAAACACTCTTACTTGCACTGTTAGTCGGAAAGGCTTTTTTTCATGTTTATAACCTTATGTACATGTGTTTTACTGCTTCAACCAAATGATGGCAATTGTTTAGCACAATTATCCGAGGTAAACATTTAAACAGTAGTTTTGGCTATTCTATGGCAAGGTCAGTTTTGTTTTTTTTCTTTTAAATAACATGTACCTTACAGTAGAACTGGAATATTATATGTATGCATAACAAACCAGGTATTTCAGATTAACCTTCTTTCTACCTTCTTGATCAAAATTCATTGTAGCACTTGGGCAAAAAAAAAAATCTAGAATTTATAGTGAAAATACTATGCATGTTTCTGTTTGGCTGCTAGTAAACAGCAACTTAAACAATGATCCTTTTTGTAAGAAAATAGTTGAATACAGAAGAACACTAAAAATGTAAGAACCTGGGTGATTCCTATTGTAATATTTTTAAGAGAGATTTCAGAACCTGTAAATTAAACTTTTCTAGTTCATCTAGCCATGTTACATAATATATATAGCCAGTTAAGTATAACTGTCCTCTAATATCTGTGTAAAAACAAAGATGATTGGAATTTGTAAATAATGTATAATTTGTAAAATGTTTTGCAAAAAAACAAAAAACATCTTGTATTTGAAATGACAGTATTTTTATGTATGGATAGCACAGCAACAACTGTGAGTGATGTTAGAACACTTATTTTTAAACATGCATAGCAATGTTGATACTTCTGTACCACGAGCAATATGAATGCCTCTTACTGATACCAATGAACTCTGCTCCCAGTAAGCACAACTGGTAAAGACTCTAAAGTCAGCAACTTAGTAACTTAAAGCAGTAACTTCGGTGTACTTGAGTCTCCTCGCTTAGCTCGGAACAATCTTACCAGCTTCCAGCTTCCTCTGTGACCCAGTTTACCAGGTATTTCATGATTAAATAGACAGCTAATCAAGGCACCTTCGTTTTTATATTTGACTCTGCACTCCGTGTATGTATGTACGTAATATTTGCTAACTAATATGTGATAACTCGTTTTAACTTACCTAGGGTGCCTATTTATTTTTTTATAAATGTCCCCCTCCAGCTTTAGATTTGTATGAGAGACTAGACAATTTTTGTAACAGTAAAGATATTAACAAGTCTTGTAATTAATATATTTTTCAGTCTTTAGAATTATTTACTTGCAAAGTTCTACTTGTTCAAAATATCAAGATAAAAATTTAAAATCCTTGTTGTCTGTTCTTTCTGTGTTCCATGTTTAAAAAAAAAAGTTGACTTTCCAGAACTACATTTTTAAAGTGACAGATAACGCTGCTCCTGTGATGGTTGAAAGTTTTTGTGGAGATGGTGGTTTGGTTATGTGAACAGTAAAATTCATCTTCTGAAATATTTCTTCATAAAGCTATTAAGTAGATTAAACTTTTTAAATAGCTATGAAATGCATAAAGCCATTTTTACACCATAATCCCATAGACTTGGTGACAAGTGATTGACAGATCCATGAGCTACCTTACTCTCTTGACTAGGGATAAACAAAATTTGCCAGGGTCTGTGTACCTGGGAGCTCCACGTGCCTCTGGAAGAGCTGGAGCCCAGTGCAGCACAAGCCTGCACTTTGTTTGCTCTTAAGTTTCTGAGATAAACAAAACATTTAACCTCAGATCTGGCTGAAGAAGAAAACTAAATTAGTGGAAGATACCTTTCAATTCAACTTTTTAAGCCTTAATAGGCTTTAAATCTCACCTGTCTTCCTTATCAAAAAAGAAATGGAGCAACATTCCCGTCCTTTCCTGACAGGTTGTTCCCTGGGGATTTCACTTGTGATATCATGCCAGAGAGTGGGGGGGGTAAAAAATTATATTGACTGTGTTTGTCTCTTTAATGGCCTCATTGGAAAAACTGGAACCCCCATTCTGGTGTTTGTGAGAATGCAATCACAGTTCTGGGTTCCTGTGCACCTTGAGTCAAGATATCTGAGCTTACAGGTACCAGCAGCCAAGATGATAAATGCCAGCAGGGCACAGCATCTCTATTCTTACAGCACAGCTCTGACACAGGGAACAAACCACTGCCAATAGCAAAACTGTCCTAACAATCAAATAAAAATAAAAGGAAAGAGCATCTGTCTATTTTTGCATCCCAAATCCTATTTAACCTCATCCTGGCCCATTTTTTGTGTGGGAAGATACTGAACCTCTCTGTACTTCCAAGTCTCTGCCATCTAGTTATTTTGTAATACGTACTCCTGGAAAACAAACAAACAAACAAACAAGCATGGACTGAGCTTCTCAGGATTACAAAACTAGTATGCCCAAAGGAAAAATTCTAAAGAAAGCTGAACCCCTTCATCCATAGCTTGAAAACAGTCTTCTGCCATACCTGCCCTAGTAAAAAGCTCAACTTCTATTTGTTTGTCCAAAGACTGCAAGAGACTCCTGCCTTTAACACAGGCTCGAAAGTCTCTAGTGAGACAGAGGAAATTGATTGTTGAAAGCTTTTAATTACCTGTCACTGTCTACTTAGAGCCATCCATGGCCGGTGAGGAGGAGGGAATCTTTGTGTCATCTGCCAGTGACTCAAGGCTGCTCTTGTCAACTCCTCCTTCACAGTTTCTAGCAAGGAAATCAGAACCTGATTTATCTTAATCGGTAATTGAGGACAGGACACTGCTGCTGGGTTAAACACTGACATGTTTATATACATATATATTTATATTTATAAATACCAAGCCTGAGAGGGCTCAGTAACTGCTGAAGGTAAAGAAAGAAAAAACAGAGGACAGTATAATAGAAAACCAACCAGCATCAACCCATGAGGATTAACTTTTTGGAAGTAGAATGGCTGGCTAAGCTCCATCTCTTGAGGGAACAGGTCTGAGTTGTAACTCCAGTGCACACAAGAGCTGGGTTTTATTCTCAGCCACTCTGCAGGGTGTCCTTGCAGTGGATTTTATTCTAACAGTGAACACTTCCATTCCTGCACAACAAACTTTAGGGGCTGATCACAAAAACACAGTCAGTCTGTCACACATGACCCTTAAGGCACAGTTTAGGACACAGGAGCAGGATACAGGTAAAACCTGAACAGCAGCACTTGTGACACACAGAGATCTATTGCCACACAGTATGAAAATGTGCCTCCCCCATCGAGACTCAAGCGGAGTCGTGTTCCCAGCTGCTCGTCCCGCACAAATGCATTCTTTTCCATCGCCTGCGTTCCTAAGGTGCGAAATGGGTGAGAATTCCCTTGGTGGCAATGGCCCTGCAGGGAATAGAAAAGGTCTGGTTATGTTCCTAGTGCTGCACAGCACTTCGGAAGATACTAAAGAGCATCCATCACACCTCCTGAACGAAGAGCGTATAATAAATCTCGCAAACAAATCAACAAAGCTGCGGATGGTTTGGAATGAGTTTCCCGAGAGGCATTTGCGCTCCCGCGGCCTTCTGAGGCGGGGCTGTGGGAATGCCAAGGCTGCTCCCAGGGGCCCGCTCCTGAAGCGGGCCCTTCCCTCCACGGGGCACAGCCCGTCGGGCCTTACCGACCGACGGGCGGACGGACGGACGGACAGACCACGAACGCCGCTCCTCACCTGGGCCGCGCCCTCAGGGCAGCAGGTAGATAAGCAGGAAAAGCGCCAGGTCGAAGAGGATGAAGAGCCACAGGTCCAGCCAGTAGGACTGTCCCGACAGGGATCGTGACAGCACCCGCCCGCCATCCTCCTGCTGCCGCTCCTGCTCCTGCTCCTGCTCCCGCGGCCGCCGCCGCGCCGCCGCCTCCATCTCCTCGGGGCCAGGGGAGCAGCGCGGCGGCCCCACTGCGCAGGCGCCGCGGCTCTTCCGGGTGCGGGGCCAATGAGAACGGAGCGCACGTACTGCGGCCACGCCCCCGGCAGCACGCGCGGCGGCCCCGCCCTTCCCGCCTCAGGCACCTCCCCACCCCTCCCTTCTCAGGCACCTCCTCTCCCGCCTCAGGCCCCGCCCCGCCATTCCCGCCTCAGGGACAGCTTCTCCGTTCCCGTCTCAGGTACAGCTCCTCCCTTCCAGCCTCAGGCCATTCCCTGCCATCCCCCCTGCCATTCCCGCCTCAGCCGAAGTCCCGCCCCTCCCTCCTGAGGCACAGCTCCACCATTCCCGCCTCAGCCGAAGTCCCGCCCCTCCCTCCTGAGGCACAGCTCCACCATTCCCGCCTCAGCCGAAGTCCCGCCCCTCCCTCCTCAGGCACAGCTCCACCATTCCCGCCTCAGCCAAAGCCCCTCATCCCCGCTTCAGCCAGACCACCCCCTCTTCCCGCCTCAGCCCCCGCCCCGCCATCCCCGCCTCAGCCAAAGCCCCGCAATCCCTGCCTCAGGCACCGCCTTGAAGGGCGGGCCCTTGCGGCAAACGCGCTGGAGATGGAGTGTTCCTGCCTGTCCCTCTGTTGTTGGGACAAGTGATGCTTGTGGTGGCTTCCCCAGTGCTGGTGACTGACATTCCTCCCTGCTGCTCCGTGCCAGATGAGATGCGGACATTGGGGAAGAGCAGGCGATCAGTCCTGTCAGACCGTGCTGGTCTTGTCCTGCCACCTGAGCTGGGGGTTGTGTGGAAAGAAACATTGACGAATTCGTCCCGATGCGGTTTCTTGGAGAGCAGATGATGTCCTGAAAAAAACCAGAGGACCTTTTGGGAAATCCTGAAGAAGTTTAGGATAATTAAAACTGTTTTAAGATACCCTCCTCTCCTTGAAGGTTAGCTGGAGCTTGTGCACGGAACAAACGTGGAAAAGTTCATGTAGGTAGTGTATTCTGTTCTTTATTTCCACAACACACAGCTGCAGGAGTAAATAGAAATAAATTAAGTTGCACAACCTGATGCCACACTCACAGATGGGATGTGTCACCCTCAGTCCCGCCAGTTTGCTCCATATTCAAATCAGGGCTATTATTTTCGTCCAGAAAAATGACCAGAAACCCAGGAGTGTGTGAAACAAAACCTTTCTCTTGGTAGCCGTTACCCCTTTTTAGCCTCAATATTAGGAGATATTAAGAGATTTTAATAAGATATAAGGCAGATTGCAGGCAGCTGCTTCTGAACAGAGCTTACTTTTCTTAAACACTTAAGTGTAGCAGTTTTCCTTTATAACTTCTGTCAATAAAAATAAGGATGGATTTGTCTTTATACAGCAAGTATTGGTTAAGCATGTGTAGTAGATGAAGTATGTTCTAGTATGTTCAGTTTTGAGGCAAGACAAAGATTTCCCTTCTAAGCGTTGTCCCCATCTGTATGATCTCCTTTATTTTTTGTTTTCCCATGATTTTGCACAATATTAAATACACAGAGAAACCTTTGTAAGGAAACTTAAGTCTTCATTTGAGAGCTTGTGCAAAAAATATTGAAGTTCTGTTCATGCAATATAGTTTCTGCAGCTTTTTGTATTATGACACTTCGGTAGGACTTAAAACAAAAGACATTTTAGCATTTGGCAATGGGGGGTTTGTTTCTTCAAGGCAAAACAGTAACATAAAGAACTAGCCCATGTTTTCAGCAGGGCTAGGTAACTGCAGCTAGGGAGGTGTTGTGAGAGGATGGACAGGGAAAAAAAAACCAACACAGAGGAAGTGTAGAAAATGGTCTTTTATTGTTCCTTCATTCTGGTGCAGTTCTGTGTGAAGTGCTTAGCCCCTCTTGAAGAATCTCTTGGACTCAACTCCTTCATATACGTAGGTCTGTTAAAAAATTAGGAAGGAAAATCAGTGGCTGGAATTGCAAAGTTTCATTTCCCAGATACGGTTCAGAGAGTTTTAAATATTTTATAGACAACTGAGAATTTTAACTAAAGATAAATGAAGCTATTTGGCTTGAAGAAAATATTTTCTACTTTTAGGAAAGCTCTTAAAACTTCTTTTGTTCATTTTATTGCAAAGTTGTATGTAAATGACTTCTTAACTCACCTGAACGAGTTCATCACCCACAATTTCTCTGGTTGCTTTAAGTACCTTTCCATTGTCTTTTCTGGTAAATGTGCCCACAAGTTTATTTCCTTCCAGGGTCCAAGTACCCTGTGGTGGGAAAAAAACCCTCAAATAATTTGCAACAGTTGTGACACTGATTTGGTTTAAAGGCTGTAGAATGCTTAAAGGTGAAAAAAGCTTAAAACAGTGTAATAGTGCTTTTTAGAAAGGCTGTAAAAAAGAAATTTTAATAAAAACCATTGGCTTATTTAAATACCTAGTAGCCAAGCTAAGTCTTTTTTACCGGTCAATACATCTTATTTTAAATAACTGTATCAACAGAGATTTGTAATTTCTTGCAAATACCCATTCTGCACTCTAGGTGGTGGACTTGAGTATTGGAAGAAGTAAAATTGCAAATCACCTGGATTTCATCTTGTGAAAATTGCTACTTGGCTCTGCTTTTTGGGCTCTCTGGAATCCTGAGATCCATGGTACAGTGTTGAACCTCTAACAGTAAAGACTCCCTTGTGCTTTGGTGTATAAGCTGCAAGCATTCCTGAACTATCAGGTTCAGGAAAATTTAATGGAATTCAGAAGTAAAATTGAAATTAAAAACTAGGAACACAAATTATTCATCTTGAAACTTCACATTACAAAGTCATTGTCATAAAGTAAATATTGAATTATGTAGGAAGACTTACAGAAAGTTCAGTCCCATCAGCCAGGCTGTACTCAAAGTTGACTCCCAGAGTAAATTCAATCTCTATGTTTCGGAAGTTGCTGGCTTCTTTGACATTAAATTTGTCCCCATTTTGTTGGATGGTAATCTTCAGATTATCATGGGCTCCCAGCTTTCTTTTCATCATGCCAACACCTGAAAAAATCAGTTAAATCAGAAAAAACCCCAAACCTCTGGAGCATCACATTTCTCCCTTTGAGTGAGTTCTGTGTGGCCAAGTGAGTTTATTCCAGCGTTCTGACCCAAAGTTTTGCCTTTTGGTTTTCATCAAGGCCATCTTCACTGATACACATAAAATACAGATCACTGTCTTAACTGGAGTGGTTAGATTTATATCCATATGATGCACAATTTGTACAAACTTTAAGTAACTATCAGGATGTTAGAATGACTTGAATCAAGTGTTTCTCTGAAATTGAAGAATGATGATTTCTTCCCTGTGTAATTTTACGTTAGTTCTATGTTGCCAAAATAATAATAAAAAATGATAGTTCAGCTATAGAATTCTCTTTAAAGTTTATCCATTCAAGTTATCTGAGCCTTTCCCTCAAATCCATACTTATAGATTATTTTTTCTCCTGAAATAAATCTGGAATTAGTTAAAATGCTTAAGATTAACAAATTAAAGTTTAATTAAAATCAGAACATTTCTCAGCATCTTCCCCCCCCACCCCAGAATATTTTGAAACTGAATGCAGAGGCAGAGCAGCCAAGAGTGAAAGGACAGGCTGGCCTGAAGGTAGCTCTCAGACAGTCTGAGTTTGTATTCATCTGGAGTGATATTTTTCCTGCAGAAGGGGTTGGAAAGGTGAGCCTTACCCATTGCCTCCATGAACTTCTCATAGTTCTCATTTCTGTCAATTTTCCAAGTGCCGTCGAATGCCATGGCTGTGCTTGCAGGAGGGCTGCTCTGCAGGGACGAGTCTTTGCACAGGGAATTTATGTACTGCCTTATCTTGAGAGCAATTTACAGCATGATGTGGCTGAGTAAAGCTCAACTGCACTGACCTCTCCAAGGAGAGGTTTCCTGTAGTTTAATCAAATTCCCAGTCCTGACCATGCTGCTTGCTGAATCTCTCTTATTGCCCCCAGATCATGACAGAATCTTTATTGCTTATCTCAATGAAGAATTGCTTACCCATCCATTCTATCCACTATGTGGAATAAAAATCAGGTGTCTAGTGAAAGTAATAATTAAACTAACAGCATTGCTTGACATTTTTTATCTCAGTTGCAGCTTCATGCTTGTGGTAGAGTCTTTAAGCAACTGGTGGTGATAATATTTACCCAACAGGACAAAGACAAGTCTCTATTTTGTCCTTTATAATTTTTCTGTTCTGCTCAGCATAACAAGCATGGGGCAGAGGATTTACTGAATGTCTGCAGGTTGTTTCAGAAAACTCTCCTCTTGCTGCCTGTCTAACAGTGAGCTGTGACTATTGGGATGGTAGTCTCTATTCATGTGATCACTTTTTAATATATATGTAGTTAATTCTCAGCAGCATTTAAAAATTCTCTTCATTATAACACATTCAGTGAAGAAACCAGCCAGATGGAAGGTGTTCAGGCTGATTACTGCTGAGGGTGACGAGGGAAGTACCTCACAATGTGCATTTCACAGCAACAGTTAGGTCTTGGTGTGTAGTTTTCACATGCAGGGTTCTTTTCCCACAATTTCATGCTGTTTTTGATCACCTGAATAATTAAAAAAAAATTTCAGCCTGGGCCCTGTGCTGTGCCAATCATGCATTCCCATCTTACCCTTCAGCCAGCTCAGAAAATGGGCAGGCTTCATGCTAAGAATCAGATTATCTGTTTTTATTGCACTGCTGTGTATCTTGACCTTTGTAGTTATCACTGTCAGTCTCAAGTGATCTCTGTAGTGTATACACATAAATAAAACTACCCAGTGTCGAATTATAGTTCATCCAAGCTGCTGTTACATAACAAAACTGATAACTTCGTTTACAGTCTTGGCAGAAAGGTTCTTTCTTACAGGTTCTTTATTTTCTGCTGTATTTAGTAGAAAATTGAGGCCTAAAATAATGTGAGTTGCTCAATATTACAAAATATGACTTTGGTTTTTCTTATGTACTGGAATCATACAATCTGCTCTTCATTTGCAGCTCTTTTGTCTTC